AAATTCAAATTAAGTTCTTAATAGATTAAAATTAAAACTAAAACATGCCAATTTTATCATCTATTAGCCTAAGTCAGAAAATAGGTGTTCAAAATGAAATAGTCCACCTTAGATTTTTCAAGACAAAATTATACATCAAGATAAAATTTAGTTCAAATTTTATTTCAATAATTCTTATTATTTAGAAATTTCAATCCGGGATTAAAAAAAAGAAATGATTATCAAGAGATCCAATACATAATTTACGTAGGGTTATTTTTAGTATGTCATATAATTTTTTATTTTTTAGCTAAAACATCAATTATATGAAACTGTATTTTCTAAAAAAAAATCGAAAAGACAATAAAACAACAGTACAATTAAATTTTTTTTAATTTTCCAATGTAATGGTGAAAATTAATTATAAAAATTACAACGTGTAAATAGTACTATAAATTAGATCATCAAATTTGACTGACAAAAAAAAAATACTACTATTTATTAATATAATGCTGCAAGCGATAACTTTTAACAAAGTATTATATAAGATGGTCACTTCATCCTTTCTTCATTGCCACTATACAACCGACAATCTCGGAAGGTACACGCAAGTTTTGGGCACCCCTGGGTAAAGTCACATCTCGTACAATAAGGAATTCCATTCTGATCGTATACAAAGACTCTAACACCCGGTCTCGACTTCTGATGCTGTACCCAGTAAGGCTCTCAGTATTTAAATGATATATGACACATAAAGCGTTATGAGAAAAATAAAATATCCTACTCGTTTTTAAGCGTTTATTCGTTACGAACAAACAAATCATGCGTTGATCCTATTATTCACTTTGAACAGGAATACAAATCTGTAAAAGAAGTAATTTATCATTTAGCCGTATAAAATCAATCATATAAACTCAATGTGTCAATTTGGTTTCCCAACTACGGGTAAATTATGTAAATTATGATTTTTCATTGTTTCGTTATTGTATGTAAAATAAAAAACGTATAATCATAACAAATTAACTTGAAATTTAAGCCATTATAAGGTGTCGATAAAAATATGCGAAGTTAAGCGTTGAAAAAATTTTATTTCTAAAAGGAAACTCTTGTTTGTTCTTAGACAAAGATAGTTTGATAGAAGTCTTTTGATATGCACAATTTCAAATTTTTTTCTTAGGAAATGCTTAGAATATTTAGATCAAACTATAATTCATGAAAGCTTCACCTCACAGTTTCTAAACTGATATTTACACTTATGATTTACAGCATATCATACTTTAAAATAATTTAGCATGTTTAAAAACATAGTTACATTTTTAAAAAAGCTATAAAACTTTTAAAATAATCATCATATATCAAAATTTGATTTATGAAATGTTGATCTTTTATTGATCAATATTTCTTCAAATTTTTAAGGTATAACGAATGAAAATAAGTATCAGTTATCTAGGTAAAATAAAATATAGTTTATTGATTATTTGATCATTGTTATTCGGAAACACTTATTTCTGATGAATGCATACAATATCTATTTGCCATAATAAATGACAGTCAATTAATAACCGAAGTTTAATTTTGTAAAAATGTTCTATTTTAAGTTAATTTTTATACTATATATAACAGTTGGAGGCCAATAAATAATATTACAGATTGTGTGCAGTTTTTTAGTTAAATTTATATAAAACAATTAAAATTTAATTCTAATAAAATACAAGCCAAGTATTAAAAACAAATCGTAGAATAAGTTTATGTACAAAAATAAAGCTCGTTAAAAGCCTTATAAAATAAATTACAAATTTATCAATAATAAAGTCAAGAATTAATACTCTTTAATCAGTGTTAAGAAAAAACGCCTTTCACGAGCGTTCGTATTTGGTGAATGTCACGCGAATGCTATTTATTGTTTTCAAATAGAACGTGAAAAACGTTCACATTTGAACGATTTTAGGGCCGTTCATATAATTATGAATAATATTTGTGTTTTTTACGAACTAGTTACGAATTAACATAACGAAATTATATAAAATAAATCAAGTGATATAATATATCAGTTAAATAATAAGGTACTGTATGGACTCGCAAATATAGATAATAAACTAAATAATTTTACTCATTAACGAAGGAGAAATGAATACGACAATAGTTTGAAATATATGAAGTTTATATAAAGACACACTATTTATGTATTTAGTATCTAAAATTTAAGTATTTCAATCTAATGTATACAGGGGCATAATTTAGAGGGGTTAGAGACGTATAGATTTTTCAAGAAAAAAAATGTACACAATGAAGATACAATTTTTTTTTTGGTTTTAGCGTAGTGAAAAAATTTTTGTCTTATTATAACAAACCTCAATTATGTCACTGAAAGTATGACTTTTATATCTGTTCGTAAAGACATAAATTTGTCTGAATTAAATAGTTTATGATAATAGATAGTGATATATATATTTATATATATAACTATTTATAAATATAAAAAATTTTAATAAATGTGTTCAGTTTCTAATGAACGCAAACGTGTTTATTTTATTAAAAATTATTATGAAAACGAGACAGTTAAATTTTTTAATGAACGTTCCTAACACTGTTTATAATAAGGTCCATTAAAGACAGGGGTTTATTTTAGTTGGTGGGGTAATCTTTTGCCTAGACAAATGCTATCCATATTACATGAAACCGGTAATTACAAATTATTTCTTTAAAGACTTTATTTTTGCATATCACTTTGTTTTAGAAAAAAAATTGTTAACAAAAAAAAAAATCTCTAATAAGCCTACTATAATCAAATATATTAAAGAGCTCCTTTTGAAAGCATTTTAAATACCTCTAAGTATTTAAAAAACGTTATGAAATTTAATAAAACGTGAATATTAAATGTTTTTCTTGAATTGAATTTTTATTGTTCTATCATATACAGAGTGATAGATTAAGGATAAGACACTCATTTTTTTAAAAAATTTTAGTTTTTATAAAGAAAAATTGTTTAACTAAAAAAACTACAATAAAGTGAAGTTAAATAATATATTTTCATCTCTTCAGTCAAAAAACTTTAATTTTCTTTATTAGTAACCCTTATTTTTAGTTAATAGGTATGATCGAAAAAACTAATTTTAGCTTCGATGCGAAGCTGAGAAGATATTAGTTTTACTAAGATGTGTTTATTTTTTTTTTTTTTTTTTTTTTTCTGTTACCACTTTTTCTCAGCTATCACCGAACCAATTTCTTTCAATGATACGTCAAAAGATCACAAATTGTATCTAGTCAAAGACATTACCCTCAAAAATTGAAAAAAATGCCCTCGTTCCCCGTAAATGGGGGAAACCTCCAAAAAAATTACAAATTTAAAAATCGCTAATTTTCGAAATTTTTCCAATTTTTTTTACTTAAAAGTACCATAACTTTTTCAAAAATGAACATATCAATATAATTCTTTTTTATATAAATGTGTAATATCATTACCTTTCGTTTGGTATATTATTTTCATAAATTTAACCCTTTACCTGCCCACAGGGGGCGATTTAAAATGACCACTTTTTCAAAAAAAATTAACTTTTTAAACTTAACTTTTGAAAATGTTCCGGAAGGTCTGACACTTTTATATATATCTTAAATTAAAGCTAATGTAATATTCTTTATTATGCAAAAAAAAAATTTCGGACTTTATTTTATCTTCACGGTGAAAATGGCTACCGAATGCTATTTTTGTGTGAACATTTTCGATTTTGTATTTTACATTTTTAACTTTATTATGCTATAACTTTTTGAAAAATGTATGGATCAGTACAATTTTTTCATGAAGAGTAGTATTTATATACATCTTTCATTTGACATACTGTTTTTTTAAATCCGANCGGAGAGTAGTATTTATATACATCTTTCATTTAACATACTGTTTTTTTAAATCCGACCATTTCCCTATATACGAGGGGGGTTCAAATCTAAAAAATGCATGTAGAAAGTAGAACTTTTTCAACTTAAATTTTGAAAGTGTTCCGGAAAGTCTGACACTTTTATATATATTTTAAATTAAAGCTAATGTAATTTACTTTATTATGCGAAAAAAAATTTCGGACTTTATTTTATCTTCACGGTAAAAATGGCTACCGAACGCTATTATTGTGTGAAAATTCTCGATTTTATTTTTTACATTTTTAACTTTATAATGCTATGACATATTGAAAAGTGTATGGATNAAATTCTATTATTTTGCGAAAATTCTCGATTTTATTTTTTACATTTTTAACTTTATAATGCTATGACATATTTAAAAGTGTATGGATCAACATTATTTTTTTATGAGAAATAATATTTTTTAATAATCCCTTTTTCATTCTACATACTTTATCTTAATTAGGATATTAATAATGAACTAGCAGATCATGTAGCTTTTGGAATAGTCCACCAATTTTTTAAAATAAAACAGTATCTAAAGATTTGCATCGAAACGTTTTTTTTTGATAGTGATTTTAATCACTGTCAGATATCATTATACTTGATCCATCTATACCACGTCACCACTGTGCCGCGACCCCCTTGTGCTGGGTTTTTTTTATTCAATGAACCGTTATGTTATAGCTTGTTAAAGTTTATCAAATTTTTCACCAAATTTACTGAAAATAGTTTATAGCTCATTGAAAAAGATTATTGTTATCTCTGTTTTATGAAAACCAATTTATAGATGGATTATTATTTTAAAAACAAATCTTTAAACAATTTTAAAACACAATCAGTTGAATGGGTGAATAAAATTATTAGAACAAAATTGTTTGTAATTTTTTTCTCTCATAAAACTTGTTCTCATCAAAGAAAATTAAATTTTAGGTTTTTATTCTTGAAGAGATGAAAAATAAAATTATTTAACTACAAATAATCATAGTTTTTAAATCAAACAATATATTTCTAATAAAAATAAAACATATTCAATAATCTGATTAAACGATTGTCTCATTCTTAATGGATCACCATATAGATAAGAAACAGCTGTTAAACAAGGTTGGATAAAGTAACATAAAAACTATTGTATTGATAAGTTGGTACATTTGTGTTGATCTGTTGAATTCATGTTTAATATATATCCTAAATTACAGTGCTTTTTAATAATAAATTCTAATTTTTTAACCACAAATAAAATATAATGAATACAAAATCTTTATTTTCAAAATCTAATTTGGCCACTAATCAGGTATTAATAGATATTCATTTTGCTTAGATATCATTTTTTTGGCTTTTTATATTTAATATTAAAACTAAACTATTCAACTGTCTATTTTATTTTTTATTAATCCAACTTTTTATCATTTGAAGACTTCGTCAAATATTTCTATATAAATTTAAAATATGGAAATCATAATGTTTAAAAATTGTATTGTATGTTTGTTGTTTATAGTAATTGATAGAAGAATCATTTTTAGTTTCGTAGATACGTGGCCAAACCTGAAACAGCTAAAGACATCACTGCCAATGTGAAAGGTTTGAGCAATAAAGTAATTATTGCTAACCCTCCTCCAGGTAAAATATTTTAATTTATTAAATTTTTACATGACAACTTATTTTCAATTCAATTTTATTAGAACGTGTTAGAAAAACTGTTGGAAATACATATAAAAATCCTCAGTACTTTAGTTACCACAAAACATCTTATTTTGATGCTGAAATTGAAATGTTAAAATATCGACTGCCACAACCATCAAGTTTAAAATAGAAAATTGTAAGATTATATAATTTTTAAAAAACTTTGATTATGATAAACACATATTTCTATTTTAGAATCATGGTTTTGTATAGAATACTATTAAGATATGTCCCGATGATAACATTTCCAATTGCTTTTGTTGCTGGAGTCATTGGATATAATTTAGAACGAAAAGTTCACAATATGGAAACACCATCAATACCTAGTATTTTAGAAGAAAAACTCAAGAGAAATAATGATTCAATTAGAAATAATTCTTATGAATCTACACCAGTGTTAGAGCGAAACTTGTCACCGCCATTAAAGAAAAATCATTGACTCTGCTAAAAAAGCTATAGAAAATGTTTTGTCTGATATTTTTTAATAGTTGAAATAAAAATATTTTAGTTAATAATAAAAATAAAATAGTTTATAATGAAGCAAGTTTTTTGTGATATTTCTTTTTGTTAATTTTGTTATTAACTTTCCATTCATAATTCAATATATATGTTATGGACAGATTGAAAAATCAAGCATTGTAATGAATTCTCGGACAATGAACAATTTTGTATATTATGTGGATAATTGTACACATAGGCCACTGTATACAAAATATGTCAAGTAAAATTTTTTTAATTTAACTAAAAAGTAATTCAATATTAATAATATATTAAGCTACTAAAAAGTAGCTTAAGGTGCGATGGAGTATGTCTGCTGCATATTTAGATAACATTTATAAATATGAGAAAAAATTTCATCAATATGTTATGTTGTTCACTTTAAACTATTCTAATTTTTATGTTTGTAGCCCTGTTAAATGAAGTGCTGTGTGCATAACTGTTATCACTCATTTGTAAAAATTAGTATATGCATGATACATGTGTCAAATACTAATTTTTTTGTGTGATTGATTTAAACTAAATAATTAACTACATTTACTAAATTCTATATTTTAACAACTATATAATGTAAAATAATAAATAATTTATTTAAAAGCAATTTTACACTTGCCCCAGTATATTTGTTTACCGGGGTAAGTATGTTACCGGTTGTGTAGATCTTATTATTAAAGAATATCAACTTGAAATATTTGAAAATTCATTGTTTATTTTTGCCTAATAACTTAACCAATAAAATATATTAATAAATCAACATGGATATTGAATAAATGACATTAATATTAAAAAAAATTCACAACTTAAATCTTATTAGAACAAGGAAAAAAAGATCACCAGACTTCGGTAAAATTATTGGCGAAGGTTAGAAAATTTTTGTCATTCGCCCGCGAGCGTTTTAAAATTTCAACCATTTTCAAAAAAAACGCTTGTTGACGCTAACGTTTTACAACTTAACGTTTGAAATTTTCACAAGACCCTGGCGAGATTCCTGAGATGATAAAAAAAACAATTCAATCCGTTCATTTTTACGGTTTTGCGAGCTTTTTTTTTTTAAAGTCCACGCGCATGGTTTTAATTATGGCATTGACACTTCAGCGCATTTGTTTATTCTGAACCTTAATTTGATATAAACCTGAACCTATATATTATGTATGAGTCTATGAGTTTATCGTATAAATTGGGATCCATCTATGACAACTATACTGTCCAACGTCAAATTACAGTCGCCTATATTTTTACCAAAATTCAATTTTTTACATAGTCCCACGTATAATAACCTGCTGATTCTTTTTGTAATAATACTATTATTTACATAATTATTGTAATTAGGATATTAATAATTTTTGTGTTTACTGGGGCTGTATTTAAGGATGATATGCCCCCCCCTTGAACCAGCGCTATCAATTTTTTTTAGGCAACTTCTAAGAAATAAGGACCTAATGTCTTTTTTTTTTTTTGATCAAAAAAATTTTATAACATGTTTAACAAAGTACAAGAATATTAAATACCTTCTTAAAATAATTTCTGAAACGTTTAAGGGGAATTCCTCATTAACACACGTCAACCTTATACTCAATATATTTTACTATATTCTCTTTTTGAATTTTTCTGATATTAATAATTACATTTTTAATGTAATTTTGTTACACTGATTCTGATGTAATATTTTTTCTGCAAAACACTTATCATAGCCGGGTGGTACTCCTATCGGAATCAGTGGTCTACTTATGATGACGGCCCGAAGAGGCTTATGCGCCGAAGGCCCCAGCTTGCGAAGCCTAGTTAATTATATAGTATTTTTATATTTGTATTATATAAACTATATCATCGTTTAAAATTGCCTATTTACCTTAATAATTAAATAAATATTTAATAACATTGTTTAACTTGCAGATTTGCGCATATCCCTTTGTTGGCACAACTGCGCAGTGCGACTCGTTTCTTATTTGATTTTAAGAGGCACTGGGAAGTTAAATTTTAATTTATTTCAACTTAATTCATCCTTAGAGAACGAATTATAGTGTTAAATACATTAAGGAATTGTATTATGTACATGTTATTTGATATAAAATTTACGTCGCTAAGAAATTTTGGTTCTTCTTCTTCTTCTTCTTCCTCGCCTTAATACCAACTACTTGGGGTCGGCCACCCTTATCTTAAACTTCCACTTGATACGATCTCCCACATCAGCTGTCCTCAAATCGCATTCAATAGCATCCCTCCATCTCTTTTTTCGTCTTCCTCTACCTCTTCTTCCTTCAACATTCATTTCTATAACTGTTCTTACAGCTTCCGATTCTTCTCTCCTCATAACATGACCAAACCATCCAAGTCTATTTTCTCTCATCTTATCCACGATTGGCGCTACACCTATGCTCGTTCCTTATTCTATCTTTTCTAGTCACTCCACTCATCCATCTAAGCATTCTCATCTCTGCTACACTCATTCTCTGCTCTACTTTCTTATCAACCGCCTAACCTTTTATCGCATAAGACGCCAGACGCTTCTCTCCACTTCAACCACCCGCACTTAATTCTGTGTCTTACATCCTCGTCAATAGCACCACTCTTTTGCACAACTGACCCTAAATACTTAAAACTCCCCACCTCTCCAATCACGTCCTCGCCTATTATCACTGACCTCCTCATTTCACCTACCTCGTGTTCTCCTTTGTCAAACTCGTACTCTATATACTCTGCCTTACTTCTACTTATTCTTAAACCCTTTTCTTCAAGAGCTGATCTCCATACCTCTAGCCTTAGATTAATTTCCTCCATATTTTTTTCTATTAACACTATATCGTCAACAAACAACAAGCACCACGGCACCTCTCCTTGTATTTCTCTAGTAATTTCATCCATCACTATAGAGAATAAGTAAGAGCTTAAAGCAGAACCTTGGTGCACTCCAACTCTTACCCGAAAACCTTCTGATATTCCTCCTACGCTTTTTACCCTGGTACAAGTGCCATAAAACATATCTTCTATTACATTAATGTACCTTTTCAAAACTCCTTTTCTCATTAATGCCCACTTTAAAACCTCTCTCGGTACTCTGTCATACGCTTTCTCCAAATCTATAAATTAAGAAATTCTGGTTATATTGAAAATTGAATAACTAATTTTAACCAAACTACTTTGGCTAAGAATAAAGTAATATTAAAATAAATAAATAAGAAAACAGGATTTAATAATGTAATTCTTATAACGAATTTTAGGATTAATCTATAGAATATTTATATGCAAAAACTCATATATTATACAATCCAACAATGGATAAATGTATTTTTATAGGAATGGGTAGTTTTTAATATCCCAAGAATAAAAATTATCTTTATAGAAAATTTAAACTACTTTTTAGGACTCTTAATTAAGCTTTACAAGACTATATTCATAATAAAATAATCATAGGTATTGTAATAATTTGTTAGTCCACTAAAGTAATTCAAATAAATTGTTATTCGACTGTAAGAAAGTGTCACTTACTCCTATTTATTGTAAATTTCTATTTTAAAAATTCACAAATTTATAACATTAAACTTAATTAACAATGCATCATTCTCAATATTTAAATATATGAAATCAGTAAAAACTATCAATATAAAATATATAGCCATTAGATATTTTTTTGTAAAAATAGTTTTTTTTATTGGTACTAAACAATTTGAAAAAATATATGATTTTTCCTTAAAAATTTTATGTATAATCACTTTTTTATTACTAAAAATTATATATAAAGTATACATTGTTCATGCTTAAAAATTTCATAACATAATGTGTTTTTTCTAACTGAATGACATGTAGTAAAAATCATAATGAAAATTTGCCAATTACAAAAATAAATTTTTTAATACTTAATAAAAAAAAATATAACTAACATGCATAATTTTTGTTCTTCTTTAGATTTTTAATTGAAATTAATTATTGTTTTAAAAGAAACTACATTTTTATTAAAACCATCACTTAACATTATTTTTAAGTACAAATTATTTTATATTTTTTTTTGACCCTGAGTTTTATTTAAATTACTTAAATACAATATTATTATTATTTTAGTAATAAATAACAGTATATTAGGAAATTATTACAACAAATTATAATACACATTGATTTCACTAAATTAAATTTTAAATGATCACAATAACTTACATAATATATAAAACATATGTATAGATTTTTAAAGAAATATAAATAAGACAAATATTTTAAGTTAACAAAAAACATAATATAATGATAATGGTAGGCACAAGTCAAGAAATATAAAAATTAAATTATATAAAATAATTTAAACACCTGTCATTGAAACTAGGCTACATGGTCCTTTGTCTCTTTGGTCATTAAATCTACAAATAACATAACAAAAAACTCAATTCATAATTCCTACAGATCTGTGCTTTCAGGCTCCTTTTTGGTTGAATTATTGGGTGGGGGTGGTGGAGGAGGAATAGGTCGCTGAGTTCTAGTTGGAGTTTTCACTAATGAAACTTGTCCTAAATTTAAACCATAGATATAAGTTAAATAAAATATATAACATTTTTATTATTGAAAACACAATATTTAATATTTATTTTACCTGACTGAGCATCTGAGGATGTGCGGCAATGACTAGACATATAAAGACTTTTATTAGTAACAACTTCATCTGAGCTGTCTTGTTTCAAATAAGAATTTGTGTCTGTAATCAAAACAGAGTTATATTATTTCTTTAATAATACAATTAATTTAAGTTATGTTATTATTTTTTAGTACCATTTTGTATGTATGGACTTGTTTCTTTAAAATTAGACTGATTACTTTCACCAACTTGTATTAAAGACACTTGTTGTTTTGATACAGTTGCATATAAATGTGCTCTTTCAAGCATAGGACCTTCTCTATCCAACTAAAATGTACAATTAATAAAAATTAATTAAATATATTAGCAACATGAATCATAATAACATTACATCTGATTTATCATTAACAATGTCTGCAATTCGTAAACTTCTAAATGAAGTACTTAATGGTCTCTGTAGGGAGGCAGGGCGTTCAGGTATAGCTGGTTTGCGAAAAATTATATCATCAGATGTTTCAAGAATTGTGCGTGGTGCAACAGTTGGCTTTAGAAGTCGTTTTAAAGAGCTTGTATCACCAACCATTAACTTTTCTTTTGGTGAATCTGTAGTTTGACTAGGCTTAGTAAAGGAACCAAGAGGTGGTTTATCACAGTTTGGTTTTTCTTGATCTTTTATAATCACCTCAAGATTTTCTAAATCATTACTGATTTTAGTAGTAGGAGAAGGTGGTACTGGAGCAGGTTTATTTTTTCTGCCTCTAATATGAGGTTTTGGACTTTCTGTTGGAGGACTAAAAAAAAATATTTCAATATACACTTAGCTTGAAATAATAAATAAATACATAATCAATAAAAAAATATTTAACACTAAAAATAATTTTATAACCACTTGCAAGTCTAAATTATAATTTTACCTTATTTCTGTAATATTTGTAGTGGATCTACTTCGTTTTAAGTCAGTTTCAATAGTATCATTAGTTAATATTAAATGTGTATCTCCACTACTGTATCTTTTGTGTCCATTAATATCATTAATACTAAGTAATTCTAATGTTACATAAAAATCTTCTTCTAAAAATCATAATAAAAAATAAATTTAAAAATTTGTAATTTGTTAAATATTATAAAACTCACCACCGGGAAAAATCCAGTCAGAATGAGAAATTAGACAATCAACAATTACATTGTGACAAGCAGCTGCATTCATATTTAATCTAAAAAACAGTAAAATAATATTATTACAATACATTTTTTTTTTACTAAAAATAAAATAAATATAGTATAAAATCATTATTTACCCTATATTATCATTTTTATCTTCAGGTGTCCAAAGTAAATTTGGAGCAATAACTATAGCCAAGTTTTGGGGACTCATTTTGTTAACATCTTGATACTTAGTGAGTAAAGCCAAAAATTTAATAATATATCTCAGATTATTCAAATTAGATTGAGGTAATTTTTGTACAACATTTAGGATAGCTTGTAGTCTACTTTCATTAGTTTGCAATCTAAAACAAGAGAATATTTTCATGATAATAGAAATATTTTATGTAAAAAACATTTTAGTAAAGTATTTACTTGGCTACAGCCATCCATTCTTCATATAAATGATGAGTCAAAAGTGGTTCTGGTAATTGTCTTAAATAAGACTTCAACACACCAGCTATTATATGGGGATCTCTATACTCTACTGCAGTTTCTAAATCCAAACAATTAGAATCTAATCTCAGTTTCATACATCGAACTTTAGAAGCCCCAGCTGCAATTCGGAATAATCCTTCTTCTTCTACACCTAGTTCTAACAAAGCACAAATGCATAATTCTATTGGATATGCAATTCGTCTTCCAGTAATTCGAAGATGGTCTTCAAGTTTTTGACCAAAAACTGGCTTAGTAGGGCTTTTATCTATTAAAACAAAACAAATAATTATTATCCAAGATAAAATGGATAATTAAAAAAACGGTAGCACAATGGGGTCGCGGCACAGTGTAATCATGGCATAGTTGGGACATAGTTCATTTTTCAATAAGTTATGACAATTTTAAGAAAAAAATATCAAAATACTAATTTTAAAAATCGTAATTTTTTGGGGGATTTTCACTATTTTTGGGGAACGAGGGCAAAATTTTCAATTTTTGAGGGTAATATCTTCAACTAGATACAATTTGTGATCTTTTGACATATCGTTGAGAAAAAATAGTGACAGACACAAAAAAAAATAAATAAACACGTCATGGTAAAATTAATACCTTCTCACCTTCGCATCAAAGATAAAAATACACATACCTATAACAGTCTCTAACTCAGGAACTATTTGATCCAACACAGCTAATGCGGTTTGATGAAATGAACGTTGGTGTTTTACAAATTCCATGAGAACTGAAGATAATTCTGACTCCCGAGCTATCAATTGGAATATCTCAGATGCCAAAGAATCCTAGAACCACGATTTAAATAAAAAACACTTTTTATAAAAAATATATTTAATTAAATAATTAAATTTCAAAAAAATTAAACTGAAAGTTGTCTTAATTTAATGAACAGATAATTTAATTTAAAAAAATTAAATATTTTACTCGACATTGTTCAACTTTAATTTCAATATCTTCTAGTTCATCTTTTACAGCATCAATTTTACTAGTATGAGAACTACCGGAATTAGAGTTTTTTATGGCTGTTTGATACCTATAAAATATATTCCTTAAATTACTATTTATTAAATTGATTTGCCTATACAACATTTTGTTGATTTGTCCAACATGTACTGAAGTTCTGAATTTTGTTAAAAATATTTTCATAACTTCTATATTTTTAATTATATATACATTGCATTACAATATTATTACAAATTACTAATTATGTTTGAGAACCTTTTTATTACCGATTGGTAATTTTTCTTTGATTATTACCGATATTCTCTTAGTCTCTAACCCAACCATTTAAAGTCGGCTTTTTTTTTTTTTGCTAAATACTTTTTTATGGTAACAAAATTTACTTAAGATATTGAGGATCCATATAATTGTCAATGAGATCCCACATATAACTTACTGAGTCAATAAAAATTTAAAAATAACTCAAAAGCATGATAATTTAAACTATAATATAATGAAATTTTAATTAATAATTTAAAGCAAACAATTAAATTAATATAATACTTCTTGAGTTATGAACACAATTAAAAAAAACTGTTTAATACATTTTATTAAAACATATTGTTTTAAGCACATTATGATTAATTTCAGATATTTTAAAAAATATTAAAACAACAGTTTAAAATTAAATATCGCTACAATCAATATGGTTTTGATATCTACATCGTTAGAGCATTCTACTAATGCAGAAATAATTGAAATCAGATCATTTTTAAAAAATTGTGTATACAGAGTGTGTTTAATACTGCAAACTTAAATAAATGATTTACGATGAACAATTTAACAGAAATAAATAAATAAAATATTTAAATTCAAATTTTAATTAACTAAACAAGAAAATTTAACCATAAAAAAAGAATAAAATAAATACTTTGCTCGAGCTGAATCCATGTCCAAAACTAGTTTAGTGAGTAAACGTTTCTGTTTAATTATGTTAGGGATATCTATATCAAGTATTTGTTGCAACTTCAATAGCACAGATTGTTCGATTCGTAATTCATAGTCTACTCCAGCATTTGCCAAACATATTTGAACTTTACTGCATTCTACCAAAACTTGTCTTAAAAAATGAAATTTTGTTTTATTAATATAGATAGCTGGTCTTCTATATTTATACAGTAATAATTTGTATGTAGTATAAAATTATATATATTCATAATGATTTATCATTATTTATTTTATTTAATGACAGCAATTATAGATTACAATAACGTAACACTAATAGCATAGTGAATTATAGTTTAAGAGTAACAGTCAGTTGTGAGGAGGGAAATGAAGGGAATAGATTCTCCAGTATAAAATTATTTACAGGGTGAAGATACAATTTTTTGCCTTCAGAACGGAAGTGAAAAATTATTTTATATATATGCTCCTCTTGAACAAAACCATAACTATGCTACTGGTAACAGGATAAATAACAAAAACAATAAGCATTCAAAATAAAAGAAAAAAATAGCTTTGAACATATTGATGTTATAATCAATATTTTTACAAAATATAAGATGGTACAGGAAAATAAAAACTTGAAATCATTACAATAAAGTATATTATTAATACTTAAATGAAATTACAATTCTTCGCCCATAATAGTTAGTAACCAAAACAAAGAATTATCAAGGTGACGGAAAATTCTATGAATGGAATGATTATAATTGAAATTAGTACGATGTGAAGTAATATGAGGTAAAGACTAATTTATAGTGAGATATGCCGAAACATGAAAGGAGATTGAAGACAAGAGATCAAAGGCTATCATCCAGTAGAGAAGTGAAAAAGATAACATCTATATAGTTATGACGAGATACAAAAGTAAAAATATAAAAAACGATAAATTTGTCAAACTTACGATTGAAATATTATTTAAGTAGATGATAATCGTAGTTTTCTAAAATAAAATATTTTAGAAATAAATTTAAGTGCTTACCAATACAATGTTTGTAAAAAAGTAAATTCATTTCAAAAAATAATCTAAATAATATTTTTTTGGAATGATAAATTTGACATATAGCTAGACTTAAAAAGTTTTTTTACAAATAAAATCTTTTTAGAGAATCAGTTAAAATATTTGCAAAAGGGTCAAATAATAGTTTATACATTTTTATTTTGTCTAACTTGTTCTATAAGTATTATGTAAAACATAGTTAAATGACACTTAATTAGTAAAATGAACAATTTATTTAAGCATATTTTGTTATACATAAAATTTAAATTTTATTTTATTACCTTAACAAATTATCATCTTCATTTGGTCCTCCTTCTAGCATTGCCATTGCTAATAAATAATCAGGCATTTTTTTCTAAAATCAAATGAAATAAAATATTTTTATTGTAGTATATTGTAAGAGATTAATATTTAAAAGTGTTTTATTTTGATAAAAAATTATTACAAGGCGTTTTTCTCTGTTTGAAGGATCACAACCAACTCCTGATGATACCAAAGTGGAACAAAGTTTTTTAGTAGTATTTTGACAAACATTTTTTATAAAATCAACACGTTTTTCAGCAGCTTGTAAAGTATCAGACAGTGCTTCAGTTTTACCAGACCTTAATAACAAGGTTATTTTTAAATAAAAAAATGTATTTTCAAATAAAATTGTTTACCTAGAAAAAGTTTGGTCAGCAAATTGTTTCACTTTAAAAAATTGTCTCTTCATTTTTTATTTTCTTCAAACTGTTATTCATGGATAATGCAATTAAATTATCATATCTTCAATAATTGTAAAATTGATTAACCTTAATAAAAATATTCAACGTTAGTTATAAATCATCAAATATCTTTTTATGAATATTTATAAAAATGTATATAATAAACACAAATACTTATACATCAATAATATATTTAGGAAATAGTAATGAGGTATAAAATAATTATCAAAATGTAGTATTATAAAGAAATTAAGTTTATAAGATAAAAAATTATTATTCAATCATAAAACTATCAAGGTATACAGTAAGGTAATCCAAAAATTAGGCTAAAATATGTTAAAATTTTATTTAGTGCAAGTACCACTATATAATTAAACTAGAAATAAATTTTTTTTTAACAGTAATTATATGTAATTTTTCTTTCAAATATATAAGTATACAATACATTTTAATTTTTCAAGTCAAAACAAGAAATTAAAAACTTAATTAGAGACTTTATGGAATTAACTTTTTTCATTTAAGTAATAAAAATTCTTTCACTATGTATTCACTTCTTAGTGTATACCAACACTAATTATTTTTTAATGGGTCATAGAGTTTGTTATTGTTTATACTATATATTCAAAGATAACTTTGTAAGGAATAATTGATATAATAAACTTATATTTCTTAATTTATATAGTTTAGTTTAAAGACAGAACAATAAATTCATTACACACTAAAATAATGAGTATGTAATAGTAAAAGTAGATTAAAAATTAAATTTAATAAAACCTTACATAAAAAGAAATAAGTAATTTTAATATATTACATATAACGATACAATATAAGTAAGATTAAGCACATAAATGGAGCAAGGACATAAATATACAAATTATAAAATATATAAAATTACAAAAATAAAATGTATATGTCCAAAACATTTTATTTTTGTAATTAAATGATAAGATTTCAGAATTGGAAATTTCCAACAAATATTGATTAAAAAGTTTATTCAGTTGTCTGAGTATAAAAATGTAATAATACTCCTTTTTGATATGCATTTTGTAAGTAATATAATTTACTAAATTTTAGAGTTATGACATACTAGTTAATGTCCTTAAAAACAAAATGTCTATATCTCATAAATTCTAGACTCAAATAATACTCATTTTAGTAAAAAAAACTCTTATAAAATTAAACAAGTAATTTAAAAATAAAAATTATAATTTTCTTTGTCATAAAAAAAAATTGTTAACTATTTTTCTAGTATGAGTATACCATAAAAATCCAATAAATATTGTTTTTTTGTAAAACATCTATACTATTATTTTTCGGTCATACCTTATGCAGTCAATAATTATATTGAATAATTGCACAAAAAGCTTATCTCTACTACTGCACTATTGATTTACAAAATAATTATTCAATAAACATGACACAATGAATAAACTTTTCATTAACAAATTATCTAAGTTATTTTAATCATTGATTATTTAGTAACATATCAGATATTAAAACATTATATAGCATAATCTTATAAAATTTAATTTATTTAAAGATTTCTAATAAAAAAAAACTTTTTGTCACAAAAATACTATTAAAATAGTTATATTTAATATTTGTTCATTATCATTATCATTTTAACCGTAAGTAGTAATAATTTTAATTAAAAGAGAGAAAATTTTCTTTAAAAGTTCAGTAATTTATTAGTAAATAGATATATACAAAAAATACTTACAAAATATAAAATTTATTCTTCAAAAACTAAAATGTTAAACAATTGATCGTAAATAAATTAACTTCCTAATTATTCTGGCAATAAAAGAAAAATTTTTAAACGTAAAATACAGATTACAGCAGGAAGAGAAATATTTTTAAATTAAATACAGACATTAAATTGAGATAAAAAATATACATAACAAACGCTACGGAAATAAAAGGATAAGAAATGAAAAAAGAATTTGATTTTCTCAACATCAAACAGATAAGAAAACTGATCAACTGATGATGAAAATGTCAACATTTCATCAGGGTAGGCAATATTACATATGAAATATTTGAAATTGTAATGACGTTTAAACATTTTTTTTTACACAGTATACCGTGTATTCTTATAAAACTACTTTATTTTTCAACATTTTTGTTTTTAATAAAATAAAATAATTCAAAGTAATATCCATGAATGTTAATTTAAATTTCAAAATTATTTAATTTTCAAAATATACCTTTTTTACTTGACTATCTACACTGTAACTAACGTAATCGTTAGTTGGTAGAATCAAGTACCATATTCTAAATGATATCCAAAATTTCCTTTAAATTTGTTCTTTAAAAAAGTTTTACGAGTTTATTTTATATTTTAAAGTTTATAAATTAAGCAACCCTTACAAATCTTAGGGGTTGAAATAAATGCAGCGGTGAAATGGCTGGACAAATTGTAAGTACAGTATACCATTAATTTTTGTTCGTTATATATTTTAAACTTATGATTGAATTTTACAATAAAGATGCTTTGTCATTGAATATAATTATATAAACTTATACATTTTTAATACAATAATTTTATATATTTTAAAATTGTTGTAAATTCTGAAATTATTAACGCTATTAATCCTATACCTAAAATTTAAGTTATTTTATTTAGAAATAAGGTTTAGAATGATTATTAGCTAGATTTAAAAATTACAGATTATTTTGTTTATCATTATTAGTTTTAAAATATATTAGAATTTATATAGAATATTAATTTTATTTTATTTTTTATTCTTGTTCATATTTTGTATAACAATTTAAAAAAAACCATGAATTTAATTATTCATAGATGAACATGTAATTATCTTAATTATAATATTTGACTGCAATAATACGTTGACCGAAACTCTTAAGATACTAAATTTTTTTATTATTTCAACCTAATATGACAGTCTAATTTGGTACCATTCAAAATATTACTGCTACATCTGTAATATCATAATTTAATTTTTTTTTTATATTATTGTTATATCAGTAGTGTCAGTCAATATGTTCGATGAACTTCATAATTGTTTTATGTACTTTGATTTCATTTTAAACAGGTATTACGTATAGAATCTCCAGATGGAACAAAAAGGGTTCAGATATCACCAACACAATCAAGTTATGATTTATTTGAAAAAGTAAATATGTTGTTTTATTGTAACTCATATGTTTAAATCTAACCAGTATTTATATTATTGTTTAAAGGTTCATGATGTATTTTCACTTACTAATTATAATTTTACATTGTATAATGATCGTTCCCGTAAAAATGAAATTAAGTCATCTAGAAGTGTTCATTTAAAAAGTTTAAATTTAAGTCATGGCGACAAAGTATATTTAACACCATTAGATTCTGAAAATATATGGGCAATTCCTGGTCCTTCAAAAATAAATGCCAGTAATGGTAGCCAATCATCTTCAGCTGTATCAACTCCTGGATCTAGTACATCTCTACAATTTAATGAAAAAAAAATATCATCATCAATCAATCAAATAGAAGAAGATGAAGTTGATAAACAGTTATGGAAATTAGATGGAAAAATCAAACGCCTAAAAGATAAAAAATAGTGAGATAAATTTTTATTTTTAAAAATTTTAATTAATTAAATATAAACTTATATTTGTATAGTTGCCGTCATGGAGATAATGGATGTTGTGTTCATTGTTCACCATTAGAACCATTTGATGAAGAATATCTTAAAACACAGAATATGAAGCATTTATCTTTTCACTCTTATTTAAGAAAAATGACAGCAGGCGTAGCCAAGTATTATATTTTTAGTATTGAATATTAGGGATGTTCCATGTACCATCAATAAATACCCAGAATAACTAAGTACCCAGTAAAAGCTAGGTACCCAAATTTTCAGCATTAATGAAAGAAAAGTCAAAATATTTAACTTTTAATATTCCATCCTTATTAAAATTAAAACCAAAGAATGATGGTTGAAACTTAAATATTTGTAGATATGATAATATTTTGAAAGCACTGGGCTAAGCCTATAAACTATGATTAAAAATATTTTTTAATAATTTTTTAAGGTGAGGGCAGAAAAAATGCAGAGTACCAATTAAAAAAATGCTTACAAACTAAGTACCGGTTAAAAGCAAAGTCCTAAATATAAAGCACATCTCTAATTAATATATAATTTTATATTACTTATTTTAATTTAAATTAAATACGTTTTAGAGGTAAATTTTTATTACTAGAAAATATTAGCTGTCGTATTAAAGAAGGCTGTGTTGGACATTTACCATGGCCTAAAGGAATATGTTCAAAATGTCAGCCATCAGCTATTACATTAAACAGACAAGTAAATTATACTATTATTCTGATGTAATTAACTTTTTATAATAACTGTTTTTAATACAGAGTTATAGACATGTAGATAATATAATGTTTGAAAACTCTGAGATAGTAGAACGGTTTTTGAATTACTGGAGAATAACGGGACATCAGCGTGTTGGATTTTTGTATGGTCGTCATGAAATACATCCAGATATACCTTTAGGTATAAGAGCTGTAGTTGCTGCAATTTATGAACCTCCTCAAGTAATGATATGTTATATTAATTGTTTATTAATTTTGACAAATAATTCATGTGCTTACAATTATCGTAAAACTGCAAAAGCTTGTTATATGAATGGATATTTTTTATTACTAAGTGTATGTAATAATGATAAATTACTGATTCTCTAAAATTGAATATCAATTCATGTATTGTTGATTTTGTATGTAAATATTTCAATATTAAATATATTACATTAATATACATTTATTTTATACTTATATTGTAATATGAAAACAAATTATTTTAATAATTTGACATCTATACTCATTAATAGTATTAGAAAAAATCTAGTTATTCACAAATTCAATTTAGGGGTAGTTTAAATTAGATTGAAAATCTTCTGTGTTTACTATTTTATTGATTTTAAGTATAATTATCCATTTGTTTTTCTATGTAATGAATTGCATACAAATAGGCATAAAGTATAATTTGTAGATACATTAAAAAACTGAATCACATTTCCCAATGTTGTAATATATAATTTATTAAATATAGCTCATAAAAACAAATTATATTACATTTTGTAATATATTATTATATAATAATATATTATGAGATATGAAAACTATTTTTGTATTTCAGGAAAGTTCAAGAGATCATATCAAACTATTATTGCCTGATGATAGACAAGAATTAGTTGATGAAATGGCACGTTGTTTGGGATTAACTTGTGTCGGGTGGATATTTACAGATCTCTTAACTGAAAATATGCAGAAAGGAACGGTAAAAATTTTTTATTATTAATTAATTAAATTTTTTTTTTTTTAACTTAGATGTATTGTATATTTAGGTAAAATATGTCAGAAATATTAAAAGTCATTTTCTATCTGCTCAAGAATGTATTATGGCTGGTTATTTTCAAAATCTACATCCAAATCCTTGTCGTTATGCTTCCAATGGTTATTTTGGCTCAAAATTTGTTACTGTTTGTGTTACAGGTTTGCAAAAAAAAAAATTCTGTAATATTCTGTTTTAATATTTAATTGTATAATTGGAAACTAAGGTAGATTGGATCTCAACAAAGGTGCTTAATGAAAATTAGAATTATTATAAACTGCTTTAACTTATAGGGGATGAAAAATGTCAAGTACATATGGAAGGGTATAGTGTTTCAAACCAATGTATGGCATTAGTAAAAGACAATTGTCTAGTGCCTACAAAAGATGTTCCAGAGTTAGGATTTGTTCGTGAATCCTCCGACAAACAATATGTTCCTGATGTCTACTATAAGGTAAGTAAATTACATTGATAACATAAATGAAATCACATTGAACAGTGATAATTATTGTAAATAAAAGAAATATCTACATTTCCTAGCCAATTTATTTATATAGTGTATCTTATACATATCAAAAGTGCTGTCACTCTAAATTTGTTAATTTTGAGTAACTACTATAGGCACAAAAATGTTTATATAAAAAAATGTAGATGGAAGAAAATTAATTTAGTACATCCAAAAACTGTACTCTAGTTGTGGTCTATAATAACTATAAGGATTAGGTATTATTATGAGAATGCATTTTAAAAAATATATCAGGAGTCTTAGTAAATAAAGTTTCATTTAGATTGAAAATATTGTTTTTATACAATACATAATTTTTATTTAACGAAAGCTTATCTAAAATGTAGAAGTCATTGTTATAAATACTTACCTTATTGGATTTATGCAGTACTAAAATATTTTAAGCATTTACTATTTTACATTGATTTTATTTAAGATTTTTTTATTGAAAATTTCCTATGAATAAATAATTATTATGATATGTAGTAAGTAATTAAAAATAGTTTTAACTAATAAATATACAATATTTCATATAGAAACTGCAAAACAAAATATGTAAATATATATTTTCGTTTATTTTTAATTTACAATTTCGTCACATTAAAGAAAAATTAAATAGCTTTTTCCATTATGAATAATTCAAAAACAGAAAAAAAATTTAACAATCTTATAATTTTTCATTTCTTTTTTTTACATTAACATTAATAAAAATTCATGAGACCATTAAACTTAACTTATAAAAATAATCATCTTTTGACAATGAAAATTTTTTTACATGTTCATATTTTTAAACTCGCCATTGATATTTAAAAATTAAATAACCGTTATCTAAAGCAATTAAGTGTCATAATTGTGATGATACATTATTTATAAATTACAATAAATAGAATTACCGATGGGATTTACATACCATTCTTATTATCTCTTTTTAATTATAACAATAATATATAATAGGTATAAGTCAATCTTGACAAATTAATATATAAAAAATGGTTTTAAATGCTATAAATATTACCAGTGAAATAACAACATAACGAAAACATTAATGACCAAAAAATACTATTGTCTTGCATAAATATATTATTGATATATATGTACTTACATTAATCATGTCTAAGTAAAATTTAAATTTAAAGTACTGCGTGTTATTTTTTAATTAATGATATTTTTGGAACTTATTTTTATTTTTTTATTATGAAACACTTTAATTACCAAAATGAAATAGAAAATCAAAATATTCATACAAATGTTTAACTATGGAGTTCTACCAAAATATAACATGCACTCAGTACTATAAACTACTTGACTGATTAGTTTATGATTATTTATATAATAGTAAAAAAAGGGCAATCATACTTTACCACAACTAGATATGACAAATGTCTTGGACGGTTTTCCAGTTTGATCACCAAATGAAGCCATTTTTTCTACAAGATCAATGCCTTCAACTACATGACCAAATATGGCAGTAAAACCTCTCATTTCTTGTAAAATAATTCGAAATTGTGATCCAACCATTCCCATATTGTCATGTCGTTTTTGAGTACGTCGCATTCCTACTGCTCCTCTTACAGCAGGAAATTTGGTGTCATCGGGCATGAAATAATTTTCTTCATATATAGATTTTCCACCTCTACCATTATTTAATTCAAAGTCTCCAGTTATCACAGATTCTCCTTCCCAGCATTGAAATATAGAGCAACCTTTATAGGAAAAACCATTTGCATCGCCTACTGTCAACACTTCAAAATTTTTTGACATTTTTGGTGCTATATCTGGTCGAGTTTCAATAACTAGTCGACCAAAGACACTTCCATTTACTTCAACATTAAAATAAAACATTGGGAATGTATTAAGACTTCGAAGTAAAGGGACATTATTTATAATTGCTTGTGGAGGACTATTTTGAGATGTTATTAATACAGGCTCACTAGATGTAGTTGATGAGAGCATTGATGTATATTGATTTGAAGAATTTCCAGGAGAATGTCTTGTATAATCTTGACCATTTAATATTTGTGATACATGTTTAGGAACTAAATAACGAGTAAATAATTGCGCCATACAGTAGTTGGCTAAAAAAAAAATATGAGCATTGTGATTTCCAGACTCCATTGATTTGTATGATTCAAAAGGTATACTTGGAATTGATGACAAGGATTGTTTTATCATATTGAAATCCAATAAAGTTGATGAAGATATTATATCCTCAAGTTGACCGTGTGCCATCTGTTCAGAATATTTATTTTGAACTTGCTGTTTAACTTGTTCTAGTCTGTTTAAATATAATTGTAAATCATATAAATCGTCAGTACGTAGATTTGAGGGTTTAATACTGTTAAGAGCTTCATTAGTTTGAAGTAAATCATTAGTATTCTGTGTCCATCCCGTGTTCAATTCCAGTTCAATTTGAGTCTTCAACGTATTACAAGCATCCAGAACTCTTAAAAGAAATTGCCGTTTGTGCCCAAATAAATTTTGTATTTCACTCATCAATTTAGCTATAGCAATGGTTTCAACTTGAACCTATTACATAATATAATTAAAAAAATTATCTAGAAAAAAATTATAATGTTATTTACCTCGCTAATAAGATGATCACGTGCATCATTACTAGATTTTATCGAATGACCAATGTGTTCTGATAGTGTTCCGCAAGCTCGGCATAATAATTGTTGACAATCATAACACCAAAATGAAAATGGCATTCCATGAGTATGACAATTTTCTCCCTAAGATGTATTTATAACACTATCAAAACTCAAGTTGTATTTTTTAATTTTAATAACAATTTCAAACCTTTCGTTCTTTATCTGAGACTTTATTTATTTTTACATGTGCAAGATGTCTAATTAAACTTAGAATAGAATTCTGTGTTCTTAGTGTTTCAGGAGATTGCTCATCTAATTCAGTTCGTTTCCAGCAATTAATACAATATACTTCTAAACCCTTAAGCATTGTAGTCTTTATACATCGTAAACAGAAACAATGTTTACAACTCAGTTCTTTTGGCACTAATTCATTATCATTAAATTTTTGCTTACAACAACCACACATAATCAATTCTTCAAACTCGAAATCTTTTTTGGTATCCATCATCTAGAGTAGAAAAATATAATTTTTAGGTTAATAATCACTGAATATTTTCGTATACATTTTATAACAAAACATGGTGATTTCATTCATGCTTAACATGTAGATAATTAAATTGTTGTTATGTTTATTTTGCTCTAATATGAAGTTTTAGTTAATACCTGAATGTGAATATTAATCGAAACTCCATTAAAACAAATAACACTTTAATATTCTTTGTCCAATATCAGCATAAAGCATTGCTAATACGCGTCTTTGAAATATTATTAAATGTATACAGTGAAATTTAAAATGAATTCACTTCAAAAATAAATACTATTTAGACGTTTGGAAATCTCGTATCAATTATCGGCTGGAGAAATACAATTCAATGATGTATTATAAAAATATGTTCCCCAATATGTGCACTATATCTATAAAAACGTTATTACGATCTTCGTATAAGGACTTACAGTTCAATGTTAACAGAGAATAGGGCAGCAAGGTTTATTTGATCGGACGTTAGTCTTACAGCCTATCGTATCTCATACATGTGTGTAACGGGGCGATCGAGTGATAAGTATCCGTAGAAAGCGCGCGTACGAAAACCTGGTACCGACAACAATAATAACAAACGCAACACAGTTATCAATGGCGACGTCCGGTGTGGCGGGCAACCGGCAGCATGAGGAGACGATCCACTCGATAACACGAAGTCAACAAAATAATATAATGGAAAAAATGTTTAATCACTAGTCGTAAAAAACTGATTCGAACGGCAACACATCCGTTGCGGTTGTCGTACTGGAATAAATAAATAGATAATTTATTGAAAAATATATTTTTGAACTGTTAGTTGTCCCACTCGAATGTGGTTTTGGAATCGCAGCGTGCACTCATTTTTAGCTAAGCACACGACAACACTTGCGAAGATGACGTTCGGAAAACGACGTTAGGATAATTAAAACACCGACTGCTGCAACACAACGAACTGCTGGTGGGACGTCGACCACCGTGTTGCATGGCGATCGTATGATCAAGAACCGAGAGAATTGCTGCGCCACTACTGAAAGCAAACCGCTGATAAAATAGTAGTTATCGTGTTCACCCGGTGGTAGTAGTGCCACTGCTACTACTGCCACCGATAACTGTTCTGAGCGCGGGATTTTCGGAAGTACGCAGTTCCTCGCGGTAGCGGATCGCTTCTCACGTTGTTGTTGTTTTGACCCGTCCCCTGCACTCCACCGTTATGTCAGTGCATGACACCCGTACGGTCAGCCGTAACAAAACTTATGTTGCACCGTCCTCCTCTTCCGTTATCTCTTCGCTACGTTATAAAATCTCAATAATTTTGCGTCTGCGGTGTTTTCGCTAGTCGTGATGGTTCGATGATAATAATTAATTAACCGTGATTTGCGCTCTTTATTTGTTTACTAACATAAACACCTGTAACTAGTGTTAGTCACGTACACCACGCACACACTGCTGTTGGTAGATACAAAAGTACTTACATAAAATAAACAATAAAACATTTTGATGAGCTGTTAACGATGACAAATAATAGCTCATTAAATATCAACTGTATTATCAAAGCATAAAAAACATTAGCACATTCAATATATTTTTCGACTATTGACTGGTGGTTTTTAAATTTTTTTTTTTGTTAAAATCTTTTAGAATTAAGCCAAAGCATTGTTAAGTCATACAATCAAAGTGAATAAGCAAATGTTAAATGATTTAAATGATAATTAAAACACAATTACTGATCGCAAGATTTTATTTCTTTAATGTGTATTACGTCGGTCAAAAATCGAAAAAATTTTATTGAGCTATTTTTTTAATTTACAACATTCAAGCTAAAATTTTGTTTCCTATTTGAACTACTGTCAAAATATTTTTAAACTATAAAATTAATTTGCCTATTTTAAAAATAGTTAAATTTATAAAACGATGTTGTCCATCAAAAATGATGTCCAATAAATATTGGATATCATGAATTATTTATTCGGAAATTCCTATAAATATATTTAATTACTATGCTCCCTTAGTCGTAACATATAATATTTATGTAAATGCTTGTACAATGTATGCCAATCGCATAAGGACATTTATAATTCAATTTTAATCTTGATTTCTAATATTAATTAAGGTCTGTACTAGTAACTTGTAGTTGCTATAAAAATACAGTAACTCGTATCTTTGTGACCTCATGGTGTATTCGAATTTAAAACTTCAAATTTTAACATCAATATTTTTATCTTCATTTATTAGAGACATAATTGTCGTCTATTGTGCACAGCTGTTATCGTATGGCTTCAAAATAAACCTTATGAATCAAGTTTTCTTCGGTGCACTATAATTATTGTCGCGCTACTTTGGCTACACGTTTACAGCTGATGTTTGCAATTCACGGTCAAAATATTTACAGTACTGCCACCTCTAAACCTTCACTTCATAGATGCTTACCTACTCACTCAATTTTCTCTTGTTGAATAGTCATAAATACGCTCGTCTAAGTTATCTTTTTGATGTAACATGATATTCATTAACCGCGTTCATTAATTTCGTAAGATTAAAAAATGAAATATGATTTTTAATTAATCAAACACAGTACACTGTTAATAAAAATACAATACTATACAATGTACAGAGCATCAAATCAATAAGAATAATAACAGATATCAAAAAATAAAAATAATTTCAGTTTAAATAAATTAAACAGTGATGAGTTCAGCTAATTACACATAAATTGTCGAAAATTGAAAGACAAAAAAATTTTTAACATAACTATTTTCGTGTTCAGTATTCTAGTCATGTGTAAGAAATGCCATGGTACTCAATTTATTAAGTAAAAATATTCTTTCAAAATTAGCATTATATGATATCTATGAAGAAATTTATTATAATTTTATATATATACGAAGAATAAATGCACCAATTAGGTAATACGCGGACACGACAGTGCAGCATCATTCGGTTCAAAAAATTCCTGTAGAGATACTCAAATTTTCAATTATATACATTTAATTACTTTTATAACCAAAGAAAAATATTTCTACTATAGTATTTTTATACACTAGAGATATATTTTCATAAATTGTTCAAATTAACTTATGGTAGTTTATTACTGTAGTACAAATTTACTGATTTCAAAACCATCTATCTAGATAAAAAAAAAACACACCATACAGTTTTTGTAAATTTTATATATAAATGTGTTAACTTCTTTTTCCTTGATTTTTTTAAGAGTATTTATAAAAAAACGGAATGCCATCTTTTAGTTCTATGATTTAGTATATAGTGATGACTATATAACTATAAAAACCTTTATTAAAATAAAACATATTTTGCCATTCTCAGATGTAAAAAGTCCTTCCTAGAATTCATATAACCACACATATGTTGATATTTCTTATTGTAACTGAATACGTTTTTATTTATTTATTATCAACCTAAACACTAAACGAACTGCTGAGTTCAGAAAGGTGATATATCACAAAAAGTAAACTTTACAGGAGACAAAAAAATATTTCTAATGAACTCATGAATATCTTACATTCTAGAAAATTCATAAAAGTTATCTCATACCTTTCTACAAAAAATATTATGTTTAGTTCAAATTTACTGTTATTGTAAAACCACAGACGCCATTTTAGTTACATAGACATGTCTCTTTTTTGCACTCAATTCAATTTTTTTGAAATTACTCATTTTTCATTGGAAAATATTTATTTCAATATCAGTTTAAAAATAACAATAAAATCTGTGTTGAGTAAAACAAAATAAAAATCAAAATTTTTAACTTTATAAGTTAAGAATTATTTAATTAAAATCATTAAAAAAACAAGAGAAAAAGTAAAACAGTTATTTCTAGATCGTAAGTTAAAAATTATCCATAATCAAAATTAAATGAGTGCTGAACTCATTTTTCATTATTGAAAAATATTAATTTTTTTTTTTAATGTGAATTATTTAATTTTTTGTTATAAAGTGTAAATATCTTTTAATTCTTCATCATCGTAAAACCATTCAATTAATAAAGCTACCACTTAAAACTTGCCTATAATTAAGTTTTTGTAGTGATAGAGTCATAGTTAAAGAAGTTACGCTGCCGTCTGAAATGAAACATATTTATTATATAAAAATTATTTGTCATATTTATAAGTGTATCAGAGATTAAGTTATAAAATGGAACATCACAAAATATTAGGTTATCTTTACATTTTGTTCAAAGTTTTTGTTATTAACATGATACATATACTAAAATGTAAAATATGTATGATTTAATGTACTTAAAAAAGACAAATGGGCTTAAAAAATCCACTAAAACAGCCATATTTTACATTAAAAATGATAAAATATGATCTTATAAAAAAAAAAAAGATAAAGATTTGCATCGAAGCGGTTTTTACGATAGTGATTTTAATCATGTCATATCATTATACTTGATTCAACTATGCTACGTCACTATTGTGCTGGATTTTTTTTACTTCAAACTGCCATTACTTTTTGTAAAATGTATGGATCAATACAATTTGTTTTATGATAAATACTATTTATATACTTCTTTCATTAGACATACTTTTTTTTTTTTAAATAAAACCATTTCCCTTTAAATATTTATATATTATAAATATATTTATTCATATTTTACACTTATAAATCATAAAACTTGTAATCGGGATATAAATAAGGAAATAGGAGATCATATAGCTTTTGGAATAATCTATTTTTTTTTTAAATTAAACACTGTAGATTTGCATCGAAGCGTTTCTTATGATAGTGATTATAATCACTGTTAGATATCATTATACTTAACCCAACTATATACGTCACTACTGTGCCGCGATCTCAGTGCGTAGGGTTTTATATTTTGAATTTACTCAAATTTTAGTTTGTTTTGTTTTATTAATGTACCTTATACTTGTGTGTCAATATTTTCTTTGTTATGAGATATTTATGAATACTAAAAATGTTATTTATTTTCAAAATTAATATTAATAGTACTAGATAATCCCTAATTCAAAATGTTTAAGTATTTATTATTAGCAGCTATGCGATTGGTTAATAGTCTTTTTTTTAATTTATCATAAAGAATAAATCATTAAGTTCATATATATATATATATATATATATATATATATAAGGTTAGGTTGGGTTAATTTTTTTCTAAGAAGTGACAAAAAATACGCAAATGCATGAAAATTTAATTTCTGGTCATAAAATTGTTGTTGATGTTATATTTTATTTTGACATATTTATTTTGTTTTCTAGGAAAAGGATTCTTATGGTAATGAAGTATCTAAATTAGCCCGCCCACTACCCGTAGAATACTTGCTATTAGATGTACCAGTTTCCACACCGCTAACACCTTTAAATACATTCTTATCACTTACGGACATGTCCAAATTCCCAGTTGAGAATCGATTAATTGATGGGCATATTCAGGATTTCGATTCTTTGTCTAGATATTTAAGACAGTTTTCTCCTATGCAGTTCCAAGAATCCGTTTCAGATTTCCATCTGCTTCTGTATATTGCTACTATGGAAATGTTACCAATGAAAGTAAGGAAACGAATATATAATATTTTATGCTATGTTAAACTTTACTATAAAATAATATTATTGTAATTTTTTCCATACTTATATCGTATAAATATATTTTGTATATTAACTTTATTGAAACTTGAATATTTTTTCAGGATTCTATGGCACCTCTTCTAGAAGCATTAAGAACAAATGATGTGCAAACTATAAAGGAATGGTCCAAGTCAGATCTTTGGGCCACTCTAGAACAGCTGATTAGCAACACCGCTGATGCTGCTGTGTCGGGTCATATTGGAAACGGTTTTGCATCAGCTTTAACAGAATCTTGGACTTGTGCTCATTGTACTTTCCTCAATAATTCAGATAGGCAATCTTGCGATATATGCCGTCTTCCCAGAGATACCAATTAGCAAAAATATGAGTATCTCATTTATAATAAAAGAAATAATAAATGTATTTATATATTTTTTGTAAGCATTGTTTATAATTTAAAAAAAAACATACTATTGTCATAATGTAATTAGCTATTGTTTTGTTGTTTTATATAGAATATATAAAAAAATACAATTAATGATTGGTTAATTCCTCTCTCCAATATCCCAGCTTATAAAAGTAAAATACTTTCGTTTTCTATAATTTTTTATTCGTTAAATAATAAAAAGCAATAATTCACTTAAAATTATAGTTGATTATCATAGGCACAACTAAAATAATATTTTTGGGAGTGCTAAAAAATTTCTTCTCCTACTCTAGAAAAGATATTTTTGTATACGCTGTGTATTCCAACTTGAGATTTACTTAAAATATATTATTTTTAATGTGTGAATGGAGAGCTGTGATATATTGACAGAATGGCCGAAATTGTATTGGTTTTTGATTACCATAAAAAAAAAA